GCGGATATAATCAAAGATTTTTTTAAATATTTTTTTTTTTGGGTGCGGTGAGCGCTAATATCTCCAAAAGGATGGCGGACTAAAAAAAATATGTGAAAACCACTGTTTACGTATAGCGGAATATTATTAAAGCTGTCACACAGGCCTGCACTGAGCTTGCTATTCCATGTCACGCCACTTCATAGGTAATACAATAAATCAACAAAGCTCTAATTGTTTTTGTTTTGTTTCTCCCCCCTCTCCCCCCCCCTCTGTCGCTCTCTCCCTCCTTTTTCTCTCGCATGTCTTGTTGAACTGGGTCTGTATGAAAAGCCAAATGCACTGATTAGAATGGAGACAATTTTTTCTTTCAGTCTTCCAGTATCTCTTAATAGCGAGTAGTAATTGATGGTTAAATAATATTGTGACAAGCATATATTAAACCACAAAATCTCTTTCTTTTCGTTGCGCTTGGTCGAAAAAGCCGCCCACCCCAAAATCCAGGAGAAAAAAGATCGAGTGAACCAGGGAAAAAAAAACCCCCGGCCCCCCCCCCCCCCCCCCACTTTTTTTTCACTTTCTCCCCATTTGCATACGCCACCGAGTGAAACATTAGAGGAGCACCAAAGCCGAAAGTCTCAAATGGGGTGTGGTCTCGTGTCAGGTGACAAGCACCCTCCAGCGTGACGCGCGGAATTTCCCGCACCGCTGTTGCGTCACCGATCAAAGGTTTGAACTTTGAACGAGTGTCCCCACTTTTTACTAAGGAAATTCACGCTCCGTAAAACATCCGGTTATCTTCGTCGGAGTGTGCTAGGGTCCAGTCGCATGGTGACCTGGGGAACCTGATGCTGTTATACAGGGGCGGATTCGTGGCAGGGGAGGGAGCAAGGTGGTAAGCACCACCATCTTATATATATATTGGTGCATCCAAATAGAATTTGATGAACATTTTATTGTGTGAACTGAGCATTACTTTAACCGTATGGTCCCTATCTATCTATATGATTCGCCAGAAACTAGGTCACAACAAGACCAAGACGACACCACGCAGACTATATAAGATACGCCAGAGCAAGCAAGACGACGCAGGCAAACCCTCCCCTCCCTTCTCTTGCCTGCCGATCGTTGGTCTCGAGACATGCGCGCTGCGGTGGAGCTACCTCCCCCTCCTGCACCACCCTCGCTTGCCAGCCAAGCTCGCGGCGTATGCTAAGCCGCGGGTCGGCGAGAAATAAAAAGTGTGCCGTGACGTATCATGAAAAAAAGGGGGGGGGGAAGGGGTGTAGCAAAATTGGCATTCTTAAATGTGCATAACTTGAGTTCAAGTTTTTTTCAAGTAAGTTTAGTAGATGGGAAGTTCACGCATTGCTGTCGCCAATGTTTGGCGGGCTAGATCTAGTATTCCATATTCTCGGTCCAGACAACAAAGACAGTCGGTTGCTCTGGACATCTCGATAACATTATCTAGCTTCCTGAATGCAATACCGAAAGGTTAAATACATATCATCCGTATACTATCTCCATACAGCAGGTGTATATTGGTGCACGCATGTCAGCGGGCGCTTGGCTCCTATTACGCAGCAGTTTTTAGCTCCAGCCACCGAAGGCGAGTCTATTTATAGCAATACACGCAAGAGCGGGGACTTTACACACACAGGGGCACTTTAAAATTGAGCTTTTTTTTAGAAACGATCAAACTTTGTGTTAATGTGTGGGGGTGGGAGTGTGAGTGGGTGGGTGAATACGAATAACCCAACAGAGTCGGGGAATTTATGTGAGTCCAGTCAACATGCACAACGTACGGTCATGGCGTATCGAGAGGCCAACTGAGAAACAAATACAAATATAGTTTATCCAGTTCACCACGTACCGGGGGCTTCCTATCCCAAAATACACACTGGTATATGGCCTTTACTCCCCGAGCCCCAGTACCATCTAGTCCTGTACCACACCATCAAAGAAAATGACATCCACCATCCTGATTGGTGTCCCGCCTCTCTTATCCGCCGACTCCCTCTCCCGTTCGTGCACCCCGCACCTCCCCAATTGCAAGTGCGAAAGGTGAAGGTCACCCATTCTGTAACTGCACACAACACGATGAATCAGCCTCCCCCTCCTAATGTGACCCCCGCTACTGCGGACAATCAATATGAACGACGGCCGTATAACTGCTGTACCACTGGGAGGGAGCCCGTTAGATGGTGTAGGTCCCGCTGTCCAGGCCGTGACATGACTACCTGTAAGAAGCGGCGTAGCTAGGGTCAATGACGTAGGAAGGTGGGATAGAAGGGGGAGATCCCCCACGGGTTGCACTATTTTTTTTTTACAACCGATGTGCGACATTTTCTGCCAACTGCAGCGTTTTTTTGTTGTCTTGACTGGGGTCAGTGCCGTCCAGGGAGGGCTAAGCTAGGGTGACCAAATCATGAACTGGAAAAAACGGGACACACCCAAGGAGGGTTTGGGGGGGAGACCCTCCAATAAACAGTTTATTGAAATCTGCTCATTTTAACTATTTTGAAAACCTTGAAATCTTTTTAAATTGACCTTCACTTTTGTAATTTAATTCAAACTCTGTGGCATGTCATAAACGAAAACAATAATATTGCAGTGGATACTTTTTTATTTATACATATTTTACAACATAATACAACACAACAAATATAATTTCTCTAGTCTAGGATTTAAATTGAGGATATTTGGCTGTTGTCCCAGCCATTGTTAAAGTCTCCTTCTTATCTAATATAAAGTTGTCAAAACTAGAATAGTCCATTTCGAAATTGTAGAGAACCTGCAGGATTGCAGAAAAGATCTCCACTCTCATCTTGTCTTGTTTCTTTCGTCCGTCCATTGAATGTTCATGAGCGAAAAGATTCTTTCAGTATTACCATTGTGGGCAGTGATCGCAAACACATGTTGGCACACAGCTAGCCAAAATATTACTGGAAGTTATATTATAAATTAGGAAGTTTTAGTGATTGGAACATGTGTTTGGTTTTAGAAACGGGATATTTAGGCGTCCCGAGAGACTTTTTCGGGACACCGGGTACGATCGTGAAAAAAAACGGGACGTTGATCACCCTTGGCTAAGTCCCTTTGCTGACCCCCCCCCCCCCCCCCCCCCCCCCCCCACTCCCTCACGGAACAAAAATCTATGTGGAAAAAAGTCCTGCTCCGGACATTAATAATTAATTAAAATGAATAGCGTTTGTTACTTAGCTGCTGTTATCATTATTAATAGTTCACCAAGCGCCTTAAATGTCGAAGTCGCAACTTCATGAGCCTACTTTTCTTGATAGTTCTTGTTAGCTACGATTCACTTCGTTGTCGGGATCACTTTCCCTTTCCCTTTCCACAATACATCTTCCACCTCCTGAGATGCCTACTCCACCTGCTCCAATGCCTTTTCCACATCTTCCAACATAGCACTGTGGTAAACAACAACTTGAGAGCGTTTAGATTATTAATAGCTAAATTGGTTATTTTAATTTTAAAATTATTCATAGACATCTCTGTAAGCTTGGCCTATTACAGATTCAGATTTGTAAAAAAAATTTAAAATTATATTTAGCTAACTTAATCAAAATTTATGGATGGTAAAAAAGGGGTGGGGGGAGATGAGTTCCAGTCTGAAATCGCACACTGATATGTTCGCACTTTCCCAAACCGGTTTGTAAAAATACGGAGATTTGAGGAGACCGCCTGTTTTTAAATCCTTTAAATTAACTTCGTTTTTATTCGTGTGTTTCTCGCAAAAATCTGTGAACGACCAATTGACCCACTTTCCGTCATCCTATCGAACTGAAACTTGGCGCATAGACTCGTTTGCCGATGACAACACATTCTTTAAAATTTTCAGCCCAACCCACAAAATCTGTTGTCCCTGTGTTTCGGGGGTGGGGGTGGGGAATGGATGAAATACGATTTGTTCAGTGGCTGCGTGTTTCGGTGTGGAGATTAATCGTGTAGCTGTTGCTAAGTGCCTTGTATTGAATTGTGACGTACTGGTTATGCAGTAACATAAAATGTATCGTTGAAAGGGCAAATAAAGGAAATATGAAACGTGTTTTGGGCCAGAAGTTTAACCTATTTGCATAACTGCTCTTAATAAATGATAAACCATGTACAATTAGATCAACGCAAAAAAAATAAATAATAATAATAAAAAAAAAAAAACCGGACATAAAGGATTTTAAAAGCCTTGTTTTTCGGGGGTGTTTACTTGCATTAACTAGACGTTCCAATTTTACAACTCACCCAACCAACCCTTTTCATTTTAGTGCTTCAGTTCACCGTGACCCTGACCTAAGTTGTTTCGCTAATTGAAACGTTTTGATGTAGCGTACCATGCATGCATTCACCGTGTTATCTTTAAACGTAACTGACTACGCAGTCAATCTCAAATACGACTTATGTGACTTGGGGAATCACAACTCACATTTCATGGCGTAGAGAGACAACGAGAAGACACAGGCGTACTCTGGATCAGAGCCGTGCCAAACAAAAGCTGTGCCTAGAGCAAAGCCTACATTTTGGTGCCCTCTTCTAGGTGCCCTCCTCTACGTGTCATCTTCCAAAAAAAAAACAACACCCCCCCCCCCTAAAAAAAACAAAAAACAAAAAAAAAAACAACAAAAAAACAAACAACGATAAATTAATACACTTACTTTGCATGACAATGTATTTGGCGCCCTTTGAGGATTGCACAAGGGTTGGGTGCCCCCTCCCCACACTTCTTGGAAACTAAGGGGTTGCTATTAGATTGCCTTCTCCTAACATGTTCTTCTCCCGAAATTTTTCTTGTAGGCGTTCCCTTTCCTTATAGGGTCAGCCTGGGATGGTAGGAACAGTAGCCCAGTGTTTTCATAAAGTCTAGGGCCGCAAATGTTGATTTAGACCTTATTTATTGTCATAGGGGCATTTTCATGTGTTACCCCACTCACGGCACCGCACTTTGAAGCTGATGGTTTCCCCTTGTTTGTCCCTTACAGTTGGTAGCACATCGGACAATGGCAGCAGTGATACAAAGAGCACCACAGACATGGATAAGAAAACCCGCCAGACCCGGAGTTCTGGTAAGCTAATTTCTGGTAACTTAAATTTTTATGGGTGACTTACGGAAAGGGATATTTTGTTTTGGGAATGGCAATCTGATGCTTAGATCTCTGGCCCGCCCGCATAGTTCAAGTTGGTTTTTTACTCAATTGTTTTTAAAATAGATTTTCCCTTACACTAATTGTGCTATCACTCTTAAAAAAATGAACAAAGCAACAACTCCAGCCATGCATAGTTCTTGTAAAAATAATTAAAATTATGTATTATCTATCGATATTTCTTTGAAAAATGTTGATTTTCATTCAATACTGATTTGGGAGAAATTAGAAATAGTGTAAATAATCTATTAATATTTGTTTGTCCCCGTGTAATTTGAGGTCCATATGTATAAGAGACCTAGGCCTATTGGCCCCCATGTAGTTGGAGGACCATATGTATAAGAGACCTAGGCCTATTGGTCCCCATGTAGTTTGAGGTCTATGTTTATAAGAGGCCTAGGCCTATTGGCCAAAGCTCATTCCCGCCTAAGATACGACCTGACAAGCAAGACCATCTTTTTCCCAGGGAGTTCTCAGCCCACCAGCAAGAAAGCCAGTATCCTTTCTCGTGCAGCAACGTCCTCTTCGCCGGCACCGCACTCACAACCACCAGCAACACAACATCTGTTACCAGCGTCTCAATCGCAACTATCAGGACCGCAGCAGCAGCAGCAGCAACCACATCACCCACAAGCTCCGGCATCCGCTGGCTCCACCATCACCACCCCCACCACCACCACCACAGACGTGCTTGTATACATAAGAGGACAGCAGAGGGACCAGCCCCTGGCAGCACAGCTGACCCTTACGCAGCAGATTGTTGACCCTAGTGTTCTCAAAGTATGTGGTAATAGTGTCACTGCATAATGTGTTGCACTAATGTTGTGCTCTACAAATGTTGGTAAACAGTATGATGTACAGCATTAGTCAACACTGCTGTACCAGTGTTTGTATACACTGCTGTATCAGTGTTTGTATACACTGCTGTACCAATGTTTGTATACTGCATGTTGTACCAATGTTTGTTTACAGTGTGTTGTACCAATGTTGTAAACTGTAAGTTGTAAAGCATTTGTTAACACTGATGAGGTCCATGTGGTTCTAATATTAAAATTTGTAACCATTAATATCTGTAACAGTGTGGATAAACAGTGTGTTGTTTCAGTGTGTATAAATGATGTGCTGTACCAGTGTGCATAAATCGTGTGTTGTTACAGTGTGTATAAATGATGTGCTGTACCAATGTGGATAAACCGTGTGTTGTTTCAGTGTGTATAAATGATGTCCTGTACCAGTGTGGATAAACCATGTGTTGTTTCAGTGTATATAAATGATGTGCTGTACCAGTGTGGATAAACCGCATGTTGTTTCAGTGTGTATAACTGATGTGCTGTACCAGTGTGGATAAACCATGTGTTGTTTCAGTGTGTAAAAAGGATGTGCTGTACCAGTGTGGATAAACAGTGTGTTTTATCAAGTGTATATAAACAGTGGGTTACATCGGTGTTTTTACACATGGTCCTGGTGTTAGTACAGGTAGGCCTACTTATATTTCTACCCATTTTGCAGAAGAGCAAGACCTGTCCATATTTTGGCTGATATGTACCTATGTAAATATTAGGTATAACTTATGACTCACGCACAATGGAGCTATTATCTATTGTGGGATAGCAATAACCTCAGGGTGGTGTTTACTTTATCAGCTGTATGACATTGTTAGATGATTTATACATTGCCAAACAGGTTCCTGTAATTTAATATGTTTTAGAGATGGTGAAGTTAAGTGAAGTAAAATTAAAATGAATAATAAAGATAGGAAGTACCATTTATGTTGTACATTGCCATTGATGATGAGGACAGGGTTAAGATTTGTTTGATGAAATGTATTGCTTATTGTTCTCTATATAGTGGAGTGTCTGTGTGTTTGTGGGGCTTTCTACCTCGCGAAGTGTGTGTCTCTTTGTGGGGGTCAACAACAGCTTCCTGTAGCAAGTTGCAGCCAACTATCGCAGACCAGCAATTTAGTGAAACAGAGTTTAGATACAATTTACCAAGGGAGTCGAGCTGGTGGCTTTGTTAGATGATCAAAGGGTGGGGTAGGGGGGGAGGGGGGTGACTGTGCATGTCACCCATATAAATAAAGAGTTTATAAATATAAAGAAGTTGAATTACTGCAATTTTAAGACATTCATCTTGTAAATAATTTTAGTACCATCCAAAGCACCCCCCCCCCTCCCGTGTCAAGTGATACCAAGTATCATTTGGTACAATTATATCCTCAGGTGTCAAGTGATACCAAGTATCATTTGGTACAATTATATCCTCAGGTGTCAAGTGATACCAAGTATCATTTGGTACAATTATATCCTCAGGTGTCAAGTGATAAAAAATACCCGTCAGAGGCAACTCCAACCACATCACAAGGGCAGCTGGTCATCTTGTCATCTACAGATCAGCAGCAGACAGCTGAATTCCAGCAAGATGAGCAGCGGACCCAGTCATCTTCAGCACCGCCCGATTTGGTATCAGAGCCCAAAAGAGAGTCCAGGGGTGGTCAGATACGTGACCGAAGGCCAACTCGCTCCCTGGAAGCTTTGTTCAAGGTGATTGGAATAGTTGTTATCTGTGGCCTACCCAGAGAGTCGGGAAGGGGTGACACCCCCCCCCCCCTCCGGGGCATCACTTTTGGGATTTATATATTAGATGATGTAATTGACTTCTGTCAGTGTGTCAGGGGGCACACATTTGGGACTATGCCCCCACGTGTCATTTTAGTCAAGATAACCCACTGGTTGTTATTGGTGTTGGTGTACAAATTATTTTAGTGCTCCAGGATAACTGCACATGGGAAACACATTTTGTAGAGAGGGTCCATTATAGTTTGAAGTTTTTATAAAAAAAAAACAACAACTTTGAATTAATAATACATGTTATTAGGTTTCTATAAATATACACATTGAAATAATAATAATATTAGGTAAATGCACATGGATTTCATAAGATGAGGTAAATAGTAATTGAATTAATAATGTTAAGGTTTCCATAGAAATAAACATTGAATGAATATATTAGGTTCATATAATGGTGCACTCAGAAACAAATCAAATTAGCTTAAGAAGTACATGCAATGTGAATGATTTATTTTGGCTGTATTTTATTGAAGTCTGCATATATATCAACTAGGGTTTAAGGTTCAAGGTCATACGTCTAAACTAGGTCATCAATCTTATATTTTCCCATTGTAGTTCTTTAAAAAAATTCATTCAAATTTAATTTGTAGAAATAATTCTGTATGTCACAAGATCAATAACATTTACATTAAAAAAATCTTCAATACAATTTAAGGCTTGTAATTTTCTGAAAGTTATTAAGTCTTTTCACACGTTTGAATATTTTAATAAATCTTTCTGATGGATGTCTGTACCTGTGTGGTTAGATTATTTTTTTGCTACCCATATTTCATTATATACATCTATTTGTCTATATACATGTCTCTCTATATATAAATATACCCATTTGTTAAAAAACTGTCTAAACCTTTAGTAAAAAATTTTTTATGGTACCCATCTATAGGTTACAGACTCAGAGTTACAAAATATGAGAGAAGACCCACCAACATCAACCCCCAGTCCAGCACCTGTTAATGTGACAACCGAGCAAACACAAAGCTACATCGTCCTCAATGACCTGCATCTCATGGATTCAGGGGAAGCAACACAGATCATCATTGCACCCTCGGAAATCACTGGCGATGCCATGTCAGATGGAGGATACTACACCATCTCCACCATCCCCAGCAGCTCGTCCCATGAACAATCTGCCATTACCTTCTCAAGTTCTAATGAAGGCTCCAGAGAAGGTGGCATCAAACTGGTTGTACACAGCGACAAGGGAGATTACCATGAACTCACCAATGTGACCAATCAGACACACTCATATTCTCTTATCTCTGACCAGGCCGAGAAAGGTGTTGGGGCCAAAACGCCAACGTCCACCCCAGGCAGGAAGAGAATCCACCCACAAAAGCCGGGAAAGTACAAGTGTAAATACTGTGACAGAACGTGTGCAAAGCCGAGTGTTCTCGAGAAACATTTAAGAGCGCATACGAATGAACGGCCTTTCCCATGTGTGGTGTGCGGTGTGTCTTTCAAAACAAAGAGCAACTTGTCCAAACATTGTAAATCGAATGCGCACATGTCCAGGACGGGGATTTCCTGGGCAGGCTCTAAAGATAATAGCAACACCGAGGTCAAGGATGAGGAAGGGAAACAGGAAGAGGAGGATAATGATTCAGAATGCACGGACACCGATGTCGAGGGTGCCGGATATGTGGATAATGATGATGAGAGTGGCGATGAGAACCCAAAAGTAATTGTTGAAAGCACGGACGGTCAGCTCCAGATAAAGCCCGAGCCACCTGTGCGCCAAGGGAGCGTACTTGAAGGGATCAGACAGAAGATTGATAAGAACAAACGGCAGCAACAGGAGCAGGAGAAGGAGGGCAAGCTGGAGATCAGTAAATGGTTCACCCGCATATTTGACGCCTTCGACAAGCCCTCGGAGTCTGAGCTGGCCAAGTACGAGGAGGCCAGGTCTGTGGTGCAGCAGAATATTGTGAGCATGGATGACATGAGTAATGCCGAGGCCATCCTCGCAGAGCTCCAGAGGCTGAAGAACGACCTCGGCCTCAAGTACCCCGGCTCGCTGCCTGTTCTCATGACACACAACTTTCTGCCGGATAACAAGATGCTGGTAAAAATTCTGAGGCCGAAAGAGGAGTATCTTGGTGAGTCATCAAGGTCAGGGTCGCAACCGCCTGTCAAAGAGCAGCAGACAAAAAACAGTGATGTCAGCTGCAGTGGCTGTGTTATGAGCATATCTCCAAAGATTGGTGTGCCATCCATTTTAGGCAGGCCACCTTCTAGCAATTCGATTCTGCAGTCCAAACTGACCTACAAGGGCCCTGTGGCGTCTGATGTTGGTCGTGATGAAGCAAGAGGTCGACAGCAGCCCGTGTCCCAGTCCAGCGATGTCCCAGCAGACCGTCTTTCATTCGATTCGTCCACTCAGCGTCCAAGACTTTCATCTCAACGTGGTGACAACTCTGTGGGCAGCCTAAGGTCCCTCTACAGCCAGTCCAGCAGAAACAGCAGCCTGAGCTCGGTGTCTGGAGAGGAGACCCCATCTCTTAGACCGAGGCAGTTCTCTAATGAAGGGGGAGAGGCTGTGAAAACAACTGTCCCTTCACGGCACCCAGCATTAGGGGATTCTAACACAGCTGCCTTCTCCACCATTGGCTCACTAAGTGACAAGCCTGTCTTAGTTTACCAGCACGCCTTGGATTCAGAGAGTGATAAAATGTTGAAATTCCAAGGCAGGTCCCTGTCCTCTTCGGTCACGCAGGACATGTTGAAAGACAGAATTGAGAACATCATATCGTCCAATGCTGAGATCATTGACAAACATTCAGTGTCCGAACCACCCAGGCCCAGGAACAAATATTATAGACAGACAAGTGATTCTAGTTTTCAGACAATGAAAATCTCAGACCTCAGACCTTCCAATGAGGCCATCATGGACAGGCTGACTGTGGAGCCTAATGCAGACAAACAGTGGAAGAAAAAACTGGCGGCGTCATTATCTGTTGGTGAAACTGACGGGACAAAATTAAGGCCAGATTTTGTCAAACGTTCGATGTCCACGTCAGCCTTGAGAAAAGCAGAGTCATCAGAAGGGGAACTGAGACTCCTTCATCCTCAGACCTTGATGGTGAGCACTAACAGTTTTGCACCCACCGTCTCAGCCCCACAGTACGTCAGTGTGGGAGTTGTGCAGCAAGAGTCAGCAACGCTGCATCAGAAGCTGCGGGGTTCAGAATCGCCACTAGTGAACAAGGGCTCCCAGGAACAGCTGAATGACAGAGTTGGATCTGCTCCTGGTCAGATTGTTGGGAAAAGTCTTCTTATAGACGGACAGGTGACAACAGTTACACACATTTCAATGCTGAATTCGGGACCTACTGATAGTGTAAATATGAACAACGCGTCACCATTTTCCGCAGCACATGTGGATGGTTTAAAAAAAGCACGACTGGTCTGTATCCCTTTCCCCCAACTGTCCAAGCAATCAAATGTCTGTGATTTTAAGGAAGGGGATGTAGGAACCAGGAAACCATCCTCCCCCCATGGAAGTGTTCATAAGAATCAGGATGCAAAGTCTGGTGCCCCTCTGACATCTGAAGCATCTAAATCTTTCTCTGTCTCATCCCCCAGTTTAATCTCTGGTTCCCCCTCAGGGGGGAGAGTGACAATCCAAGAAAGTCAAAGCAATGCCAAGTTAACACCAGGAACACCCCTGGTCCACCCTGCGGTGCCGCCATCACTCCCTACAAAAATTGTTCAAGGTCCGGGCCCTCATGAGATACAGATTCAGATCCAGCTTTCCAAAAATGCCAACCATCAGCCGGTGGCTCACATTCAGCAGAGTGGTGCAGGGGGCACATCGGCAACTACAACGGGGCTGCCTAAAAGTTCCAGTGAGTCATCCAGTATCATAAGCTCAATGCTGCAGGCACCACGTCAGCTCAGCCCCATGATTGGTCAGCCTGGGGTTCAGTTCCCAGCACTTTCAAAGGCCGGGTCGCCTCTGCTAACATCTAGGTCATTTTCAGGTTTCACCACCGGGACCAGAATACCTGTTTCTTCCCTGGTGCAGACGGGATCTTTGGATCAAGACTCACTGGCCGCCGGGAAAATTAAGATAGGGTCAACGACGTACACCTTGCATGATCAGAAGAAACCAATGAGCCGACAGGGCCCGGTCACCTTGTCTGTGCCACAGCAGACAAGACAGCCTGCATCCTTTATGACTGAGCTTCAGCAGAGACTGGCTGTGCCTCGCTGCGATTCTCCAACAGCTGTCGACTGGAAGAAAAGAGACCTTGCTGGTCTAGTAGGTGGTGTTGACAGTGATAAACTGGCAGAACATTTTAAAAGCCAAGGTTTGTCTGATGGCCTGGCTGCTGCAGCGGGTGCGTACCTCATGAACGGTCCATTCACGTGTGAGGACTGTGGTGAGACATTCAACCAAATGGGACTTCTGAACCAACACAAGGTTCAGCAGTGTCCCAAGAGCAAATGTCTTCGCAGGAGTTTGTCTGCCATGGAGACAACAGCAGGTCAAAATCCTGCCAAACTTTCTAGCCAATCTCCGAGCCAGTCACAGCCTTTGAAAAAATCCAACCCAGCCCTCTTCAAGTCCCTCTCCACTACAGACCTCCACACTGAGCACCAGTCCAATGTCAGCGACTTGCCCAAACTCAGAGAACAACTTGTGTTGGTGTCAACGGCATCATCCCCATCACCAATCATCACATCAATTGCTTCATTGTCTCCAAACCCAGAGTCGACGGACATCTCCTCAAACATCAACCAACAGATTAGCCAGCGTCAGAGCTTGATCATAGAAAACAACAACCCATCACTCCGCAGAAAGAAGGGACGGCCAAAAGGCTCTAAAAACAGACCCAAAGATTTGAATTTGGTGTTGGCAAAAGCTAGGGGAGCACAGTGCCAGACGTTGCTGCCGGGAGTGAGGCAGGGCAGCATCGGCCAAACAGCGCTGGATGGGTCCTATCAGAAAGATTCCCCTCTGCCAGGTCTGTCGGGCACCGGTCAAGTCTTATTTCTTCAGAGTGGACAGTTTCCAAAAATCCTCCTGCCCAGGTCAGCCCCGGCCACGCAGGCCAGTACTGCATCAAACGACATGGCCCCAGCTTCAACTATGGCTTCTGGTGGTCAGGTGATGAGCACTGCATCTACAACTATGAACACCATCAGCATCGGAGGTACAGGCATGATAGGTCAGCCCATGGTGTTACCTGGTAGCAAGATGATCAGGCAGAACTCTAACATGGGACAAATGGCCTCCTCCACTAAAGCCAATATCATAACAGGAAGCGGCAAACCCAACATTGGCCAGGGTGTGCCCATCCTTGGCTTAAGCCCAGGGGTGTCCATTTCTGGCCTCGCCCTAAACTGCACCAGCTCTGTGTCGGTTCTTACACCGGGCACCCCCATCACAGCCCTAACTCCCGGTACCCCGCTGGGGGCCCTAACCCCAGGGACATCAAAATCTGGAAGTTTCATGATATTCCCTGTCTCAACCCTCACACCTGCCACGCCTGGGACACCCATGACCCCTGTGACCCCAACAAACCCCATCAATTGTAAGACCGCTCGAGCCCAGAGTTTAGAGTCGTCGGCTTACACCACCGGCCCGAGTAAGCTGGCATCAGGCACAGGCCTCACCTTAAACATCTCGTCGGCACAGTCAGCTGGCAGCAGCCAGTTCTCTCAGATGTCACCCCGTGTTATCCCGTACATTCCTGCCGTCACATTCCACAACGTAGACCCCACCCCCAAACTCACTGGGAATAATCTGCCTATATCTAGCCCCTTGCCCGACCCAAGAAACCAGCAGTTCAAAATTTCCCAGAACCCTTCAATGACATTAAGCCTAGCGGGTCCCAACACCCCGGGTACCCCCTTGACTCCTGCCACCCCCGACACCCCGACAGATTTGAGTGGCACCAGAAGAAAACTCAAGGACAAGCTGTTGCTGAGACAATCCCTAAGCGTTGAAAGGGGCCACGATAAAGCATCATCCATGGATTCACCTCATCCAGGCTTCATGCTGAAACCCTTTACAGAGTCCCCTACCGTGTTGCCCTCCCCGCCACCACTGCTGTTTTTCCCATCAGCCACCAAGCCCAGCACACCGGCCACCACCTCTGTCCTTCTGGCATCCCTTACCAAGCCCATAATGTCATCACTGAAACTTGGCAGCCAACCCAATGCTCTAATCACCACAGCCGTCATGGGGAAACCAAAGGAGACTGAGAAACTCCCTGACACATTCTACAGATCAGAGTCAGAAACCCACGCCAGTTCAGAAACTGCCAAAGTCCACTCTCCTGTCATGAGGGCATTTTCAGAGCCTGCCGCGGCTAAGAGGTTGAAAAAACCCAAGCAAATGAAGCCATCGCCGTTGAGCATAGAAGAGAAACCACCAAACGGGGGTGTTATTTCCAAGATGTTGTCCAGTTCAAGGTTGGGGTCACACTCAGGTCAAGATGACATAACCAGCAAGAAATCATGGTGTCTTCAAACTAAAGTGGAGAGTGGCTCAGACTCTTTTGACTCAGGCCTCAGCTTAAGGAGCATGTCTCAAGAAACACCGTTCTTCTTCCCGAAATCAGGCTCCATCGCCAGTTTGGACAGCAATGAGCTGATGATCGATTTATCGGGAGACAACTTCAACAATGTGACCATTCCCATTAACTACTCTATCCCGTTTGTTAATGTCAGCAGGTTGCAGAGTGGGCCGCTCCTGACAGAGTGGAACCATTCCAGCAAGCTGACTGGCTCTCAAGTCAACCTCTCACCCCTGACCTTGGTCGGGTCAAAGATCATACTGCCAGCTGTCGGGGGCACGGCCCTGATTGCACGGGAGGCCAAGAACTGGCAGCTGAAGCGCTCCATATCTCTTCACAGGCACTTTCAGATTTTGTCCCGGCTGTGGCAGTCATCATCCCCTGTCACACTCGACTCCATGACAGCAATGGCTCTTGCCCAGGGTAATCCATCGCCCGCTCTACTGGGCAGGATGCTGCTGTCCTACTCGTCATCAGGATCTTCGTTCTCAGAAACTCCCAGCACAGGCACCCCAGGAAGTGCAGACCCAGCCAAATTAAAAGCTCCACCTTTGTATCCTGTGGCTCACGAGTCCATCGACCTAACCAAAGACGACCCTCAACGGCAACTGCAAACATCATCTTCAGTCGGTGAAGCCACAGATCACCAGAATTCAGAAATTAAAAGCCCAGCTCCACTTGCCACACCGGCACATCCAGACAAATCACTTCACACCACAACCACCTCTCAGCTGAAAGCTAGGCTCATGGCCTCCATATCGTCCCCGGTCAAAAACAGTTTAGATTCAGCATCATTGGAGGATCACCAGCACTTATATTCCAGACAGGTTTCGACCCCCATCAAATCTTCGGGGCTCAGCTTCCCTTCGGCCTCATCGCTGTTGTCATCGGTGGAGCAGCACCTGTCCAACGTCACGCCCACCGGGACCTTGAACACACCCATGTACGGACACTCCTGCCCCACCCTCTACACCACAACACACGTGACCTTCTGTTGCATCCAGCGCCCCCAGCCCATGTATGTCGCCGTCAAGGGAAGTAAGAAGATCTCCATGTATTCCAACTGGCGCCTCGCCACCCACAACCCAAACCCAGTTGGATTAACATCACGTATGTTGCTGTCGCTCTACAAATCAAGGTAAATCTACCAATAACAATTTTCTATATAGATACTTGACTTGTTTCCCCTTGCACATGAAACAAAGAGTTGGATTTTATAAATAAAATAAAATTTAAAATGTTTGTTTTGGATATTAAATAAAACTGTCTTTTTTCTATGACATTTAAAGAAATGCATCCAATCCAGTATTTGCTCAATGCTCCATGACACCGAGCAATGGTGGCAATCAGACTCACAGTTCCTACTGGACCTACCAGAGAAAGAAGATGGGCATCGTCAAGAAAGAGTTACTGGCTCCTGTGAAGGTATGGTCTTTATTTTGATACATAGATTAGGAAGAAAATTTGTTTCGAAGAATAGCTTTTTTAATTTTTTAACATGAACCACAGAAACAACTTTTTCCATACAAAAATATAAAATGTCCAAAACTTGTTTCACCACTGTTTGTAACTTGTCCAAAACTTGTATTCACAATGTAATAAATGGCCAAAGCTTGTTCACCACTATTTGTAACATGTCAAAATTTATTCATTTCTTTTTGTAACATGTCCAAAACTTGTATTTCACAATGTGTAACATGTCCAAAACTTGTATTCACAATGTGTAACATGTCCAAAGCTTGTTCACCACTATTTGTAACATGTCCAAAACTTGTTCCCCGCAATATGTAACATGTCCAAATGAACTTCATGGGTTTTTCCCCAAACATTTTAACACATCCAAATTTTCTTCTCAGAGTGAAGACATTAAAACCAGTGTCAAGCTCGAGCTGGGCTCATCAAAAGAGGGCAAGCGTCAGAAGCTGAGGCTCTCCAAAGGCGGCTTCAAGAGCAATGAAAAGTACGAGTACATCCGCGGGCGGGGCTGGGGCAAGTACATCTGTGAGCTGTGTGGCATCCGCTGCAAGAAGCCCAGCATGCTGAAGAAGCACCTGCGCACCCACACCGACCTCCGACCTTATCACTGCCGGCACTGTCACTTTTCATTCAAAACCAAGGGGAACCTGACAAAGCACATGAAGTCCAAGGTGAGTAGCTCATCAGGACCAATTAAAACAAACACAGAGCTTCTGTTTGTTGATTTGTTTGTTTGCTGTTGGTGTTGTCAGTGCCAGGTTATCTTGTACAGGTCAGGCTGCAATGTCATCTACCATTTTCTAGTTTCAAATGTAAACAAAATAAAATATTTTTAAAATAAACTTACATGTTAAAAAAAAAATCTATTGTTATACATCTGTATTATACAGGGCAATAGTTCTTTGTTACATATCTGGCAATAGTCCCCTGTTACAGACCAGACCTTATACAGAGCAATAGTTTGGTGTTACAGATCTGGCCATAGTTCCCTGTTACTGATCTGGCCATAGTTCCTTGTTACAGATCTGGCAATAGTTCCCAGCTACAGATCTGGCAATAGTTCCCAGTTATAAATCTGGACATAGTTCCCTGTTATAAATCTGGCAATAGTTCCCAGTTATAAATCTGGCAATAGTTCCCTTTTAAGGATCCGGCAATTGTTCTCTGTTAAGGAAATTTAGTCAATTTAAAACATAGTGGAGAGGTGAACCTGAAAAAGACAAATCGAAACAGTGAATGTTATTGATCAATCAAAGCTGTTGAAGAGATAACATTTTAAAAAGGGAGATAATAAGATGGTAGAAACATTATTAAATGCACTATTAATGTGATCATGCATTAAAAAAAAGAAGTTGCTTAATTGATGACACACATTTGATATAATTTTTAAAAAGCTTTCTTTTATATCAATAATAACTAGAGTTGTATTTTAAAGCTTTGATCCTAAAATCGATTTTTGTTTTCTTGGTTGTTATCAAACCTTTAATCTGACTACAATGCTGCCTCAAAAACATCATACATTGCTGCAGACTTGTTTACCTCCATCCTTTCGCTGTATTAACTAAGTCTTTAAGCCTAAGACTATGGCACTACGATGAGCTTAAAAAAAATTACAGTTTCAGGAATTTTTTCTTTTGTTAGGTTTAATTTTAATTTAAAAAATAAATAATGGGGGTGTTTTCAGTAAAAAGTTACAGCATTTTTTGTAGTAACACCGTAAACAATGGAATAAGAATAACTGATTGACCTTTGCGGTCTTGATCTCAATGAACCAACCATAATATTATCTTTTAGAGAATTGCGTTGTTCATACTAAACTGCCCATGTGCTTGCCTAAGACCCTTTTTGAGCCTAAAGAAACAAATTGCAGGGATATATCCTGTATATTTATTTGTATTAACTTACATAATCAGTTGAATGGACATACTTACACAGCTTGTATTTTGATTAGAAAACAAGCGCGCGCTCCCCCCCCCCGGTGCTTGAATGAAACTATGTTTTTGAGAGCTCAAAACTACACTAGGGGTAAACAGGTCTGTTGTTGGGTGATGAATTGCTCACTTCGATAACTGAACGTCTTGGTACCTGGCCAAGTACTACATGATACAGCCGTTAGCATTGTTTCAGCCAAATAAATATACTTTACTATGAATCATCCCCAGTCTCATCAGAAGAAATGCTTTGAGCTGGGCATCATCCCAGTGCCCACATCTGTTGATGACTCACAGATTGACTCGGAGGCCTTGGAGGCACAATGTCGTATCTCCAGAGAGGCCCGCATCCATGACTCTGGCGATGGCCAGAACCCATCAGGGGACGAGGATGATGATGATGATATGGAAGGGGATGATGATGACGATGATGACGAGGATGACGAGGATGAGGGAATGTCCCGTGAAGATGCAGAGGACCAGTCATTTGACCAGGAGAGGTCGGGATCAAGCTCGCCACGTGTGTTGAAGAGGTCAGTATATGGATGTTATAAAGCATGCAAATTTGTATCATTTTTGGTTTGGTTAAAGAGTTACACAGATAGTACCAAATACATGCTCTGTATAGTGAGTTGCGAATGGCACAGAGCAAGTACCAAATTTTCTATGTTCTGTATAGTGAGTAATGGTACAGAATTAGTACAAAAATTCTTTCTATGGTTGTAGTTTCTCTGTTAAAATTGAAAAAAATTGAAATATGTAGATATTTATCTTACTAAAGGGATTGCTTAAATGAGCATGTTTTTATTTTTATTGAACCAGGCAATCTTCAGTAGATGAAGCATCTCCTGTATTTTCATTTGGTCAAAGGTCAAGGCCAACTTGGAGCCAATCAAAATCACGGTAATTTATTAAAAAAAAATTTAAAATTGTATGATGATGTGATTATATGGCAATGGAACAGCTTTACATACATTTAACCTCTGTTGAGAAAAGACACATTTTAAAAAATAAATCCATGCATTGGTTGAAGATTCACTGGTTACAAACAAACAAAAAAAAAAAAAACCTTATAATTTAATGACATTTTTTTATGATATATAGATTCTTTAGAAAATATCTATTTTCAAAATCTTGATGACAAGACTTTGCAATTTAATCAGTCTGTCAGACACATCTCATATTAATATCATTTTTGGGGTTGCAATTTCTTCATTTTTTTTGTATCAATTTCCAGTGCCAAGATTTTGTTAACACAAATTTTTTACCCCTTCCAGAAACAGAGAGTTCTCTGAGTCTTCCAATATCTCTTACTCCTCACAGTCCTCAATGGAGAATCGTGGTAAGTCTTTGTCGATTAGATGGATAATGACATGAAGTAATCAGACATTTAGAAAATAATAATTATAGTAATAATAATAATAATAAAAGTTGTTGTCTACTGCAGTAAGAAAATGAGTTTTCAGTACAGTAGTTGAAAATCTAGAATCTATGATTTGCCCTAATTGAGAATCTAGCATCCATTGTTTCCTCTGTAGTTAAGAAAATCTAGCATCCATGGTTGGCCCTGTAGTTAAGGAAATCTAGCATCCAAGGTTGGCCCTGTAGTTAAGAAAATCTAGCATCCATGGTTGGCCCTGTAGTTAAGAAAATCTGGCATCCATGGTTGGCCCTATAGTAAAGAAAATCTAGCATCCATGGTTGGCCCTGTGTTCCACTAGATTTCCTCTCCTGGGAATTTGGCATCTCGTATTTTAGTAAATTTTTTGACACTTATCTGTATGTTCTTGTGTGCTGTGATAGACACCAATCTGTGTGTTTTTGTGTGATGTGATAGACACCAATCTGTGTGTTCTTGTGTGCTGTGATAGGCACCAATCTGTGTGTTCCTCTTCACACCTATTAGGCTGTATTTCATCACTTTTAGTTTTCTCATGAGTTTAGATAGCATGCCGTAAGTGACAGTAGTATTAATGTTGCCAATCATTTTATGAGATTCTCTCTCTCTAACTTGCTCCCATCACAGCAATGAGTCCACACAACATTGACACCGAGATAGCCAGGAGCCTGCTGGATCTGTCACAGCCAAGGCGATCTGAGTCCAAGGAGATTGTCGATGAGGAAGCCAGACGCCATGGTTTGTGTATTTTAAATAAAGTTAAATGTTGATTTATTATATTTGTGGGGGAAAAAGTTAAAAAAGCGCGCACGTGTGTGTGTGTGTGGGGGGGGGGGTTGATTGGAAGTCAGTGTGTGTTAAAAATGTAAGTTATACTGAACCAATAGGTCTTTTAGTGCCATTATTATGTTTTGGGATGGTGCGTCTGAATGACTACTTCATGTGTTGTATTAGTCAAGTGTGTTGTGTTTGGACTTATGCCCCTACTCCTCAATCTGCCAATCTTGTCTGTAATCTACTTTCTGTGCTGCCCATGCCTTTTAACAATAAAAGCTATTCATTTTATGTGGTCAGAAAATTGAAAAAGTCCTATTTAAGACTTCAGCAATTTAAACATTATTCTTTTGATCAATTACTTTTATTTTCACTTTGGTTGGATGGTAAGAAAATTTCAATTGTTTGGACATTGATGGTGTAATATATATATAAATATAAATAAATATATATATATATTTATTTAATTATACAAAGACTGTGTCCGCAAAAAAAAAAAAGGAATATATTTGACATGAAGAAATAAGAGTAATGTTTGTGTGTTTTTATTTCTTGTCCGTAGCCTTGAGCCACCTGCAGAGTTTGATCACCCAGCTGATGGCTCAGAAGAAACCCCTGTCAGGTCTCAACATTACTGGGGACAGCACGTCCACTGCACCAGAGTCCGGTCGCATGGTGATGACTCCATCACTGGGGTCTGCTGGTGACGGAAGGGTGAGCATGTTGATATGGAACACTCGGTGCTTTGAATTATTGCTTGGCGAGTGTAATGAATGTTGATTGGTATCGGTGAGCACCGACTATTAATTTACCCTGATTATAGGTATGCCCTGATTATTGATGTGCACTGATTATTGGTGTGCCCAGATTATTGGCATGCACTGATTATTGATGTGCCCTGAATATTGGTATGCCCTGATTATTGGTGCACCCGGATTATTAGTGTGCCCTGATTATCGGTGTGCACTGAATGGTTGAATTACATAAGTTTCAATGATTAAAAACTGCTGGCTATGATATAAAGGTTGAATGATGAACTCTTATGATTTCACAGACAGGTTCTACAAATTAATTTATCATTGGTTTTCATTGTCTTATGTTAAGAGCAAATATTGATTAATTTTGCATAGAATTTTAACTTGTTTTTTAAATCTATTTTCCCAGTCGCCGAAAACGCCATCCACATCAGATGCTCAGTCCCAAAGTCAACAATGGTTCTCACAAGATGAGGGCTTGTTGTCTCGGTATGGTAGGAAGAATGATTCTCAGCACTCCCCGCAGAGGAGCATCAGGAGCATGAGTGATGATGTATCAGGGCCAAGTGGGAAGTCCCAAACCATGAAAGAGCTGTATGTATCCACAGAAGACAAGGGACCGAAGGGAACTTCCTCAGACAAGTCTGTCTTTTATTCTAGAGTAAAGGACCCCTCTGGGAGAATTTCACCCGTCTCTACAGCAGCCAATTCACCATCCCAGTCAACCTCATCACCGTCAGTGCCAGCCAGACCAAACCAGCTTTCCTTGCTCAAGTCACCAATGTCGCCGTCCAAACTCCATCATTCCAACCTGCCGAGCCCGTCTCTCATGTCATTCCTGCCAGCTTACATGTCATCACACTACGCCCAGAGGGCCAGAGTGTCCAAGACAGCTGACCAGGGTCCAATCATTGGTCAGTTTGTCCGCAAGGACAGTCATTCTGTCAACACCCCCAATGTGGCCTTGACCCCAAATTTAGTCCTTGCCGGCCAGTCTCAACCGTTCCATTTCAATATCCCTTTCCCAGGTGCTGGCCTGGGGAGTGTTTCCGATTATGATGGCCACAGCATAATGTCTCCTGTAGTGAATGCTGGGAGAGACTTCATGCACAATATACCCATAGTGACCATCACAGACACCTCTTGTGAAAGCCCCACAATTGAATCAACCGTTGACCAGTGTTCCAATAGAGGGGAGGTAAAAGAGAACCTTACAGAGCTGACTGGGATGGCAAGCAGCTCGGCAGTGGTGCAGGAAACGACATCGACATTCACACCCTCCATGAACCAAATTCTGGTGGGCAGCTCTAGTGACCTCAATAAAACCACCTCAACCATGTCGTCGTCTGCCCTGACATCAGTGTCTTCGCTATCCTCTGTCAAGGTGTCCACCGCGGTCAAGTCCTCCACCAAGCACACGCTGGAATCCCAGGGCCGGTCAAACTCAGAGAGTGCCACGATGTCGCCCAAACGAAGGGACAGCGCAATAGAGTCATTGATACGTGAGAGTGCAATGCCCATACTGCTGGTCACTGGCACAAAGTATTCAAACAAAAACTCCTGTGAAGCCTCGGACCCTGCACATGCATCCAGCCCATCCCCCAACAGTCAGAGCGACAGTTGTATCGATGGCGTTGGATACCCGGTCGCCAAACGTTCTAGTCGGCTCAGTTCCGGGAAATCCAGATTCCTGCGCCGGCAGAGGTCGCTCGCAGATGACACTGCTTTCCCTTCAGCGGATCAGGACTCGGTGTTTGACAACTCTAAAGTATCGACCGAGCTCTCTCTCCAGAAAGCAGCTGATCACAGTGGTGATAACATCGACCCAGGAGGGAGAAGAAACCTGGAACTGGTGAAAAGAAAATCTTTCCAGGAGTTGTCAACCATTGAGCAGCATGTGAGCAAAGATGGTGATGCAGGAGTTGTAGTATCAGGGAACAGAGATTTTGATGGAAGACTTGGGGGTGGCAAAGATGAGGCATTGGAATCAGTTCTGGATAAAACCAAGGATAACCTCAAACCCAAGTTGAACTCATGCGTGTTTTGCTCAGAGAACTTCGATTCTGTGGAAGCTTACAACGGCCACCTGAAATCTCGAAAACACATTGGAGTCTTGGAGTCGCTGGGTATGCTCCCCGCTGGTACTTATGAAAAACTACAGCAGAGCGAGCTGCATGACAGCCGAGCTGAAGAAGAGGAAGAACAGAAGGTGGAGCTTAAAATGGATCTTGATGATGGCAATAATGGATTTGACGGATCTGGCAGCGGAGGGGGCATTGTGACTATGGAAGCTGTTGTCAATGTTGGGGACGACCCCAGTGGATCCAGATTGGAAGGTCAAAGCTTGGAACCTGAGCAAGTTGTCTGTGACATCAGAAAAGGTGAAGAGAGGGTAGGCCGTGACATGCCGAGGGAGAACTTTGTGGATAAAGGAGACATCACCCAGGGGCATCTGGTTACTGTTCCTAGAAATGAATTTGGAACATTGAGGAGGGCTGTCAGTCTTCAGGAAGACACAATGGGTTTTACAGGTGAATATTCCCAGAGAAAAAACTCTTTAATTTGGTTGGACTTTATGCAAATATTCTTTAATATGAGAGGATTGCTAATTGTATGGTAGATTATAAAAAGGAATTTTCATTGAAACTTGAAAGCTTAACTATATAAGTAAGTTAAAATGATGGCTTCACGAGTTAGAGCAGCGGTTCTCAACCTGTGGATCGCGACCCCTTGAACGACCCTTTCACAGGGGTCGCCTGAGACCATCGGAAAAAGTTATGAAGTATCAACGAAAATAATTTTGGGGCTGGGGGTCTCACAACATGAAAAACTGTATTAAAGGGTCGTGGCATTAGGAAGGTTGAGAACCATTGAGTTAGAGGTAAATAAAAGCTACTTTTGATGCTGTTTTTATTTGACATAATAAGACTGCTGGTTGGACCATGAGAAGTTGAGGTTTTGTGTTTACAATCTATAACTTGCTTGTATATTGCTTGCAGTGTGTACTTGTATGGTGATTGCACACAAAAATGTGTGAGAATAGTTTGTATGTTGATTACATTGTGATAATAGTTTATGTGTTGATTATAATGAGATTAGCTCATATGCTGATAATTCTGTGAGAATAATGTATATATTGATTACAACACCTACAGATGATCAGCTGGTTTAATTCTAAGAGCATCAGTTTAACAATGTCTTTCTTTTCATTTGCCAGGAAATTCTTCCACACCTGGCCAGGCCAAGCTGCACAGACCTGCATACAAGCGTAAAATCTCACAGCAGTCCCCTGTGACAGAGAGCGCAACGGTGCTGACCAAACCCCACCTCAATGAAAGCCTCAGGCTGTCTCTGGTCAAGCGGGCCAGGCACGGCCTTACCACGGTCAAGGAAGCGGAGACAGGGTTCAAGGATCAGTTGATCATTGATGAGGAAAGCCCAGGTGGGAAGACACTTGTAACATCCGCACCGCCCACCTCGATATCTCAGTCTCTGTCGACCATGGTCAGTTTATTGACATCTGCACCGCTGGCAATGACACCATCAGCTGCCCCCGTATCTTCGGTAGTTGTCAGCAACAGTGCAGCATCCGGCACATCTGGTAATGGATCTATCACTGGTGGCAAAATAAATGCTGCTACATGGAGCTCAGGAATGGATATACCCGACAGAGCTGAAGAATATCCTACATCCCACCAGGTGTCGCTGACCGCAGGTGTGCCACCGTCAGGATTGTCTGTTGTGAACTCTGTGATGGCGCCACAAGGTGTTGCTGCAGTGTCTCCTATAGTGAGCTCTGGCATCACCACCCTTGGACAAATCTCTGTGTCCAACTTGGCAACATCAGGGGCCGGATATCTTATACCATCCTCAGTGCCACCGGGAACATTAACTGGTCTCGTTGTTGGGTCACCTCTGATGTCATCATCTAGTGTCACTGTTCTGGGGTCATCCACGATACCACCTGCAAGAATGACCTCTGGGATAGTAGAGAGCTCGTCTACATTTTCCTCCAAGATGGTGGACGGAGCGATGCACTACCAGTGTGGTCTTTGTGATCTTAACTTCACCAACATGATACAGCTCAAGGTAAGTGGACCCCTTTTTAACCCTTGTAGTAAAGCAAGGTTCTCAAATTTATAAACACAGGGCCAGGTCACTGTCCCTCTGACAATGTTTTGGACCGAACTATATTTTAAAAAAAAATTGGAAATAATTCCAATGAAAGTATGGACCTCATTTTGTCTAATGAAATGCTCAACAGTCTGGTTCTGTTTTTGTCATTGCTAACCAGGAATCCTTACGGTGGCCAGGAGGGCCAGATGTTGTCCTCCGTCCAAAGTTTTGGGACCCCGTATTCAAGTTTAACCCCATGGATAACCAAGCCCTGAAACACAGCGACTGTTAAATCAGGGTTTAAGAGACTTAAGCCTCATGGGTATAGAAATTGGGTGGAAGTGAAGCTATACTGAAAGCAAAACAGTGCACCAAACCTGCATTACTGTAACAAGAATTTTGTGTATCTGTTGAACTTGTTAAACATTGAAACTTTGTTTTAATATTGGCGTGGGTTTAAAGTGGGGTTAAGTGGGTTGTCAGGCGTCAGAGGTTGGGGTGAGGAAAGTGGGTTTTCAACTACTGGATCAGGTTGAGACACTGTTCATTCCTACATCCTCAGAGTCACCTGGTGAGCCACACGGAGCTCAGGCCTTACGTGTGTCAGTTCTGTGATGCAGGCTTCACCAACTCCCAGTCTTTGAGGACCCACCTGCTCACACATGGCCAGGTGAGTGTAACCACAATAACCTATGACCTAAGACAGCCATTGATCGTGAAAGGCAAGGAAGTGTTACGGTTTCAGGTGGAATATAAACAATAAATTAAATATAATGCTATTTTTAGTGGAACGTTATCATGGAATATGCATACAATATAACTGAGTTTCTCAGGATCTGCTGGCCATCTTTAAACTTGTTGCATAACACTTGGATTGAGAAATACCATTTTTTGTGTGGGAGCAACACAAAATTTTGATTGGTGGGAAATATTACCTTGAATATATGAATATGTTGGGACACAAGTAGTGGATTCATTAAATGAGAAACCATTTCAATATCTTGTTGGCTGAGATTCACAGGTTACAAAAATAAAGGGGAGAAAGTACTCATCCAAATGAGTGAGGATTAAAACAACACAAAAGGCCCACAGCTTAAACAATTCTATATTATAGAAAATTGTAAAAGAACATGCTAGAGTGGAAGCCAACGTTACTTTATAGTTGCAAGTTATTTTAGAAATGTTTCAACCAGTAAAATTGATTGTTCAAATGATAACAGGTTTATTATTTAATTAAGGTGTGTTCTGACCAGAGAATAATTTGTTCAAAGGATAACCAGTTCAACATATTTTTCTTCTTCCCAGGACCGCCCCTATATTTGTGGTAATTGTGGTGACACGTTCGCCCAGCAGGCAGACCTTCAGGTCCACTACTCTAGTCATTCGTCCACCTCCATACGCCAGCATCAGAACGTCCAGTCAGACGTCAAGATACAAACCACGATCCAGTCCCTCACGGCCCAATACGGAGTCCCCAGGCAGGACCGCAGTTCCCCAATCAACCAGAGCTTTGTTTCCGATACTGGCAAACGTCTAAACACGACTGGGATCAACAATCCGGCGAGGCTGGAGTTGAACACTTCACCTGGCCCCGTCTCGAACAGCCCATCTCCTGTCAGCATTGTCTCATATTCAGGTCCTGCCACCGCATCAGCATGCAGCAATCTTCCCACGCAACAGGAATCTTCCTTGGGCCTGAAGACACAGCCTCTTAGGCCCTCCTTGCCAGATCGACAGTTGGTGTACAGTCCGAAATTGGAAATCACTGAAAGGAATGAAGGCACCAGTATAGTTGGTCAGCCAAAAGAAGATTCTCTAAAGCAAGGGTCAGATTTGCCAGAAGAGCTGGTGGCCAAGTTGGAAAACATGTGTGCCTCGCCCGCCAGTAGTGGTCAGTTAAGGGTGGATCTCACGGATCAGAGTTTCAGTGAGGATGAGCTCACTGCCAGTGATAATGGCAAAGGTCAGGCTGTTTACTCCCAGCAGTGGAGTCAGCAGCAGCATCCAGGCTGTCTCCAGCAGCCACAACTGTCGTCACCATCAGGGTACCACATGCAGCATTGCTATCACCCTGCTCAGCAGCAGCAGCTGTACATTCAACAGTTGCAGAGCCCACTGCAGCAGCAGCAACTCTACCCTCAGGAGCATCAACCACACCATCAGCAGCCATTTCTGCAACATCAACATTTCCAAATGTCTCCAGGCCCCCAGCAACAAAATACCAATAACAACAACATTGGTAATGATGAACAAAGCTGTGAAAATGAGTCCATTAGCTCATCCATGTTAAGCGGATCATTATCCAATATTGGTGCATACTCATCAATCATGGACGCTCATCATTGTCCACCTAATTGGGATCAAAATCTAACCAATGTCAGCCATTCAAATCTGATCCAAGCTGGTACAGTTCAGGATTACCAAAGCCATGTGAGGATAGAAGACACGCCACTCCAAGGGGGCTCATACAGCAGCGAGCTGGCAGCTCACGATGGCCCTTATCATGGGGAGGACAACTCTGGAGATAGACATGAAAGTATGGAATGCCAGGGTTCCTATAGAAGCCGGAACAATTTGGGCGGATCAGAAGCGGAGCAGGGGCAGCAGCACAATGAAGGGGCATCAGACCCTCATCTGTTGCCCCAAACTTACTATGGGCTTTCTTGATTGTTGGTCTACAATGTGTTTATGATAACAAGTTACTATGTCATCAGGCCATATGTCAGGATTAGGGCATAGGTCAAGATAAAGGCATATGTCAGGATTAGGGCATAGGTCAAGATTAGGGCATATGTCAGAATTAGGGCATAGGTCAAGATTAGGGCATATGTCAGGATTAGGGCATAGGTCAAGATTAGGGCATATGTCAGGATTAGGGCATAGGTCAAGATTAGGGCATATGTCAGGATTAGGGCATATGTCAGGATTAGGCCTGTGTCCAGAGAGGCATAACTGGAGTTGGTTGTGCCTCAAGACACTGTGACTTGGACACTTTGGCAGAAGCAGGGATTGCTGCCCATACCAGATAAAATTATCCAAGTCTATGACTTTGAAACTTTGCATTTGGCAGTAGCAGGAATTAGCTACGCATATTAGATGAAAATAATCTGAAGAACATCATTATTTATATGGTAATCACTGGCAAGCATCACCCACTGTGATAAAAAAAAGTTTTTGTATTTTGAGGCATAATTAGGGCACTCCCATAATGTTTTGTGCACAAAGGGATCCGCCTCACCCCAGTTGTGCCACTGTTGGGGCCAGCTGTGTTAATTTGATTGTGTTCATCCATTCACTCAGTGAATACAGACATAGTACAACTAAGATGCTGATCATTTCACAGCAAATATTTCCTGTCGTACTGAATATTACATCCCAGTAGTACATTTGAATATTGGAGTGATTCCATAATATGCTGTCCCAACAAACCTGTGTATGTCTTCATCACAGTAGAGCATGTTGCCATGTAACATATGATGCTGTAAACATATGATGATGAGGTTATTTAGATTTTATTCCCAGTTCATGCGCTCACCTCCTGAAATTTAGTTTGACCTAAATTGATCTTCTGAAGAAGAGAAAAAGAAAAGGGATAGATTATGTTGTCAGTTGTGTTAAGCCCCATGATAGACCACATCCATCCCTGTGCTACCTGTAAGATCTTTTCCCCACATCATCCATCTATCTAAGCCTAGGTCTGCCTTTCAGCCGTTTTCCCCTAGGGTTTTGATGATGCACCCTCTTCACACCTCTGTCATTTGGCATTCTCTGTAAGTGTCCTGCCCAGCGTAGCCTGCCCTTTTTTATTTTTGCTACTAGCGTGGGGTCCTGATACAGACTGTACAATTCATGGTTGGTTCATGTCAGACCACACTGCTGATGTAGTTTTTTTCCCAAATAAAATATTTTAGTTTTATAAGGGGTGACTTGTGCTGGTATTTTGTTGATTGCATGCTCTCTAGTTGATATGTAAACAGACTTGATTTTACATTCCAGATGGATTGAGAGAGAGATGAATGGTTGCTGGGTGCAGTGTCCATTTTGGATCACATGGCGGAAGGGAACATGATTATGAGAGTGTGAGATTAAATACAAGTTACCTGCTTCAATATTTAAAAAAAATTTAATGAAAAAACTGCCATAATTTATAAAAATAATCGAACAGCCTCCCCCACCCCCTTTTTTTCCTTCCCATTTGAAGCAAGATTAAATCACCTTGACTTTGCTATCCATAAGTCTAAATTGGTTTTTAATTATCTCAAATCTTTTGTATTTATATTTTTGTTTTTAATATGTATTTAGTGGACTACCACCAGTTATATGAGATAAGTAATATCAGCTATATGAGATATGATGTAATATCAGCTATATGAAGTACCGGTATGTAATAAAATTGGGTTGATGACATAAAGATCAGGCTTGAAACCCATTGCAGCAACTGGAGTTACCCGAGAATGATCCCCACCCTTGTTGTAATGCTGGAGCAAGCTGCCCGATAATCCCCATCCCCGTGGCCACCTGTACAATGAACCCCATCCCTTTAGCCATAAAGTAACCCAGGTCCCCTGTATTAACTACCCAATGAGACATGGACGAAGCAGTCATCGGACTGTGTATATTTGCATCTGTGATCATTATTGTTGTTTTTAAGTTTTAGAATTTATTTTTGTTTTGAAATTTACCTGTGCAATCTGGTTTATTTAATTTTAAGTATCTCAACTATAGTGAAAGTGCTGCACATTGATCACTGGCTACTCTAATCATTGACCACTATACCTGCATTGTGTTCACATACAGAGTAAATAATGATAGGTTAAAAACTATGTTAGTTATTCCTATTTATTACCTGGCTAGTGAGGTACCACCATTTCATGAGAATGAAAATTTAGCCATGGATCCAGTACCGGTAACTAAAATGTGGTTGAATTTAGAATTGGATGAAAATATAAGACAATGAGGAGAGCAGCCTGTAATGTTAATGTTACGCTGTCATATGGGCAAGCACAGTGAACCTCTGTATTTTACATCCACTTAATCAGTTCCTTCTAATACTTTAACTTGTAAATATACAGCTGGAATAGTTTTAACTGGCAGTTCTAGATTTCTCCCCTTTTGAAGAATGTTCATATTTAAATTTAAAAAAACATTTGTTCCCCATTTCCTCTGTGGTGAAATTTGAATTTTTTAAAAAATATTCTCATTTTGGGTTTATCCAGTGTTTGTTGAGAAAGAAGTGCGTCCCCCCCCCCCCCCCCCCCCTCATTATTTCTTTTTCTGTCAGTTGTTTTCCTTAATATTCAGTTTTTTTTTGTGTTAAACTCATTACTGATTAATTGTAAGATCCAAATGGAAGGCTTTTCTTAGCCTATTTAAATTATGATCATTTTATTGGACAGAATAGATTTGAGTAAGCCAGTATGACAGCAGTGTTTTTATAGCAACACTTACTTTTTAAAATTGTTTGTTCAGCAGACATTTTAGTTTTGTTATATTTTTAAAAAAAAACATGTATACTTTAAGTTTGGATGTAAGCTGCAGCTAAGCCCCACACAATCATTGTTTCGACACATGTACCACAAAACTACACATACCCTCACAACTACAGGTGTGCCACATAACTACACATGATAGTTGCAATTGACATGGCAAGTAGAAATCATTGTACATACATACCATGTGTAAATGTAAAAACTTTATCTTTGTGATGAGATTAAAAAACCCAGCTTATTTGTGATGATATTGAAACAATGAAAAGAACAAATGTGTGTACAATTTGAATGATTCCTGTGTGATAAGAATACCTGGACTTAGCATTGCCCTCTTGGGCAAACGCATTTTTCATTGCTGCCTTCTCACACGTTACGACTAATTTCCCTCTGAGAGAGTTAAGATGATGTTCATATGTTTCTACAATCAAGTGATGAAACATATTTTTCTATATCTACACTCCAGTGTTGAAAATATATAAGGTGATTGTCAATAAAGTTCATTTCAGTGTACGAAGGTTCCTCAAAATAGCTATTTTACCCCATGTTATTTTGCTGTAAGTTTGTTAATTTTTTTTTTTTTTTGCACATTTGATTAAACTGTGACTGTGGCCCTTCGTTACACGGTAAAGGAATTCAGTTGGATTCAATGGTGAGAGAATGGCACCATATGGTCTTTCATGCTTGATTTTACGGTTTATTGGCTCACGTTAGGTGGGTTTGTTTCAAAGCTAAAAAAATAAGATGGGTGGTTTCCCTTTACAGTTTCCAATGTACGGTTATTTATAATCTTTTATTTTAATTAACTAGCACCTTTACAACACCAAAAACCCTATTTTTGTATCATTGTCTGAAATTCATGTAGTCTAGTGTGTGTACACTTATGAATTATTAAATTATTTTTTTTTAAATGTTAAAAAATAATTTGGTTTCTATAGCATTTTTAAATTTTGTTATCAGTGTTGACTGTTACTTAACATTGAAGAATGGCCAATGCTTCAATACAAGATACTTTTAGTTAGAAAGTGCTAAATCATGATGTAATAATAATGTGGTATATTAAGATTTTATTATGTTGTATATACAGACATGCCAGGAAGTCTTGACTTAATATGTACATATTTTAGATCCAAGTATGTAAAAAGAGATATTTTCCATGTTTTTTAAAAAATTGAAAATTGTGTTTTGTAAAGCCAAATTTGTTGTATTGAAGAATTGCTTGCATTTTTTAAAAATCCAGTTTTTTCATTTTTTTTTTTTAAAACGATAACTTTTGCTATATTGTTACAGATTCTCTTTTTGTATTTGATTACCAGAGGAAGAAATACAATTAAAGTGATTGAAACTTATTTAAGAGGCTGTTTTTTTCCCCGATTCTTTCTTTGAAATCATAGGATTTAACCCAGATGCCACATAACATCAGATCACATCATATAGTTTATGCAGTTACACACACATCACATCATATAGTTTATGCAGTAATACTCAATAATTTTTTCTGCTATTTAAACTACTGTCCACCATCCATCTATTTGACCCTTGGTCAGACGTAATCTAAGCTGACTGGATCAATGAGAAGAATGAAGATTAATTTGGCTTTTAAATTCACTTATTTTCATCAGAAAAAAAATAAATTATTTTAAATTTAATGACAAAAATGAATTATGCAATTCGTTGTTTGGAAACAAAACAAAAAAACAATTAGAAAAAAAATTGATATGAAAACTTATGCCACAAGAACTTGACTAATTATAATGGTAAAAAACAAAACTGCCTGAAAGATGAGCAGAAAGTAAATGAAAGACATCAGAACAAGAACATAAGTTTATGCATGCAAAACAAGTGAACATCCAATCACCCTGTCTTAGAGATTCAAAACCAGTTAACACCCTATTACACGTAGACTTAAAAAAGATTTCATGTAGCAAAATAAATATTGGGTTTCATTCAGTATGACTCGTATAATTAATCTTATCAGAGAATAGCTGGTATAACTTTAGTAATGTGTTAAATGTTATTAATCCTTGCATTCACAACCATGACACAGTCGGTTCTACAATATCCCAAGTGTGGCTACAGGTAATTAATCTAATCTGAGAATAGCTGGTATAACTTTAGTAATGTGTTAAATGTTATTAATCCTTGCATTCACAACCATGACACAGTCGGTTCTACAATATCCCAAGTGTGGCTACAGGTTCAACAGTGTCCAAGTGTAGCAATGGGTAAAGTTAAGGAAGTTCAAGTAAGGCAACTTCACAAGCTTCATCTGCAGCAGACGTGGCAATTCAAATTTTTTTTTATTATATTACTTATATAGAGATGAAAATATCCTCCATAAATGATTTTTAAAAAAAAAGACTTATGGCCAAGACTATGGTAATTTTATAATGTTCGAGTAGTTATTGTGTAATAATTGTCTTTTTTTAAATAAATCTTTTGCTGAACAGAAAAGAAGAACAAAAATTTTTTTAACAATTAAAAGCTTTCCATAAAAATAACTTACAAGTTGGTATTTGGAAGAAAAAAAGTGAATTTGAAATGTAACAATTGGCAACAATTTCATTGACAAAAATATATCTGCAAAATGTGAAGAAAGAAAATGAAAGACATTGGAACAAGAACATCAGTAAATCATGCAAAACAAAGTGAAAATCCTCCAAAGTACCGATTTTAGAGATAAAAATAATTATTTTATAGAGGAAACTAAATATTTGTTATGATAGCTACCATTTACATACATTTTTGCCCTATTTCATATGCAACCCAGAGTGGTTTGCATAAAATTAGATAGTCTGAGAATGGTTGGCATAACAGTTATTCTGAGATAACTGAGAATGGTTTGCATAAGTTACTCTGAGAATGGCTGGCATAACAGTAAAAGTTGTGTTGCATTTATTAATCCTTGCAGTGACAAACATGACATGGTTAAACTATCAAAATGTAGCTAGGGGCAAAGTTCAGGCGCTGGAACCCATTTCACCCACTAAGGCAGCTTTACCGACAGAACCAAGATGGGAATTAAAGATTTATAACAGTTTATTATTCGAGCAGAAAAAAATAAATAGTAAGAACTACCCGAAAAAGCTTTATGTGGGGATATTACCAAAAAACAAGGAACACAGTCCCAGCATTAAAAGATGAAGACCTTTATGAAGGGGCCAAGAAAAATGATGGAAATTTTATAGACTGGAGTTGGAAAAGCTAATATTAAGTTATATCAAAATGGTGTATAAAAAAACTAAGGTTAACAAAAAAAAAATTAGTTCTGGTTCATGACAAAAAAGTTGTGGGAATCTATTTTGCAATTTTAATTGTGCTTTTATTTTCATTGCATTAAGTCTTTTTGCTCATCAGAAGAAATAAAAAATATTTTAATTTACAAATAATGCTTGGGATAACAAATGAAAAATTATCCATGTCAGTGAATGGAAACAAAAATGATATATTATCCTTTTCAGTAAAGGAGGAAAAAAAATGCCATTAGAAACAACTGACATGAAAAATCTGCCAGCATTGATTGCCATTAATTACAATGACAAAAAAAAAAACCCTGCAAAAAGTGCATAATATAAATGAAAAACGTAAGAAAAAGATCAGTTCATGAATGGAAAACAAGTGAACATCCACCAATACACTGTCTTTGTGACTTTGGAGAGATTCAGAGATATGTAGTATACTAAACATTGGATGTCGATAGCCACTCCCATACATCCATCTTTGCCCTGTTAAATTTGCAAATCTGAGAATGGCTGGTATAACTTTAGTCATGTGTTCAAGTTATGAACCTTGCAGTCAAAACCATGAAATAGGGGGCGCAACATAATCCGAATGTAGCTGCGGGCAAAGTTTACGGGGTGGACCCACCACATCAGGGTATCATGGTAGTTTCCAGAATCATTGACAGCAGTCAATCAAGATGGCATAACAAACCTAGGAAAAAATTAATGTAAATAAAGTTATTTCTGACATAAACCAGAAAATATACCCGCAGATTAAAGTGAATACATCGCAATGCTTTCCTGCCTGTTTGAAAATCAATCAATTATTCTTCATCAATTCAACAGAAAGGAAAGAAGCCTGATGGCTGGTATTTTGTGTTTTTTTTTAAAAATAATAGAGTTCAAATATTTTTATAAATGTGTTTTTTTGTTTTGTTTTTAAATAAACCCAAATTTGAATTTATTTCCAATGCTATAATTAAATTATGTGCTCCACTATGCTTCAGGTCATTAAAAACGAAAATCCATAAATAAATATTGCGTATGAACATTTCGTTATCATTATGGTAAGAATTTAAAATAAAAGTTTGAAATGTACAAGGAGAAAACTAGATACTTATGTAAATAGCTTTTATAAAGTATTAAAAAAAAAAAAAACTTTACATAGTGATAGTTTGTTATAACCGACCTTCGGTAAATCGAACTTTAATAAATCAAGAACTGCTTGCTCTTGTACTTGTATCAGGAATAAAGTCTCAAATTTTGGGTATTAATCACGTTCTTGAAATTAACTTAAAAATAATTTTTTAAGATCTTGATTGGGATTTGATAGTTGGGCAAGTCACTTAGTCCAAAAGGTTCACAGGTGAGTAATGTAAAGAAAAACAAATACCTTTTTAATTGGCTTAAGCCGTTTTGGGATAAAGACTCTGATCACTCATCCATTTCTTGGGAACAATTACTGGGAAGCACTTTGATCTTGATTCAATGGAAACAACTTTGATTTGTTCAAAATACCCGGGCAGGCTTGTGGACCATGGCCAGAGCTTTTTGGTGGCATCATCAACAGGACAGTAAGCTTGACCACAAGGAAGGCTAATACCCTCAATCTTTTTGTTTGGTTTCCCAAAGAGGAATAACTCCTTCCTGTAAACTAATGCACCAGTTATCCCCCAAGTGAACCCCCAAAGCTTTGTCATGAACTGGATGCTGGGTTTACTGCTCGTGTCCACAAATTTCAGGAGAGACCCATTCTCTGACAGAAGATAAGTGGCCTGTTCGTCTTTAAAGCTCACAATTTGACCATCAACACCACCCAAAGCAGACAATTTTCTCATTAACTTGGTTTCAGTGTTGAGGCAGAATGCGATGCAAGATGGCAGCTTACCTACATTGCAGAAAAACAAAATATTTTTCCCCACAGTGGTCATGGACTGCACTGTGCTCGAGTTGAATGGAAGTGTGCAAAAAACCTCTATGGATGCATCGTCGAGGACCAGCATGGAGCTTGTGCTGAACCTACACATCTGATAGTCCTTGACAAGGTAAACAAATTTCTCCATTTGAACAAAAGTGTGCTTGAGAGAAACTTGCTTCAAGACTTGGGTCCATGAATACGGAGCTTGATGGGCATAGAGCATAATAAATGGGGATCCACTCTGCAGAGATCGCATGGCAAAAAATATCTGGTTGTCTACAACAGAGAGGAAGACAGATCTCTCATCAGTTGAAGGTAAGTTGCTGATAACATAGCTCATGTTTCTCTGGAAGCTGAAAGCTATGAGAGATAGTTTGTCAAAAAACACTACTACATTGTCCAGGCTGCTAGCAGATCTGTGCAGGGCCGATGTGGGCCAGTACCCTGACGGTGGCATCAAGTGAAACATAAAAGCTTGCCTCACAACAGCCATGGCTTCCTTGCTTTCTAGCACAGCATCAGTGCTCAACAATTTCTCTAAGCAACTGTGGCTCACTAAGGAGAGGCGGCAGGCACCCAGGAGCTTGCCAAGGTATTCTCTCCGTTTAGTTCTGCTGATGTAAGTACAATGACAAGGCTCTTCGGGGTGAGGAGTACAAAAACCTTTGGAGGCTAGTAAGTTGCTAACGTCAAAGTTTTCATCACTGCATTTACTTTTGGCCTCCCCTTAAAAAAAAAGGGTTATCAAATTTCACACTTCATTTTTAAAGTTTTTGATCAAGCAATAACAAATATTTTACAAAAAAAACGAAGTTGCAAACAAAAGATCTCATTTAAAGTTAAACTTTTGGAAGTACTGCTATTAGAAAATAATATTAGTGAAACAAACAACAAAAGATCTAAAATCTTAGTAGGTCTCCTCTACCACCCTATGTGCAAAAGATTATTTTAGCTAAGGATGATGTCCATTCGTTTTGTACAGCTTTATAAAGTCTAGAAAAGTGATTATCAAAGTGGCGGTTCACATAATTACAGGATGGGTCCCCAGCCCTCAATGAAAAATTTAAGAAGTTCTCAGAAGAACAATAATCAAATTGGGGACCAGTGACTCCTGCATTGTGAATGAATTTTTGCTGTTTCAACACTGTTTGGGGAGCGCAGTTCAAAAACACAAATTTTTTCAAATAAGCTTTATAAATTTATCAAATGTACCTAAATTCATCTTACCTGGCCTGACGTAGATTTCACTCAAAATAAGAAGATTGGGTTCACCACCATCACATATTATCCCCTCTTCAGGTGTATCCCAATCCTCTTCACCCACTGCACACTCATGTGAAACCCATGCTAAAATAACATCAACAACAGAATCTTCAGATGGTGCATCCAGGTCCCTGTGTTCAACCACAGATAGTATGTCCTTGGGGTTGAGGTGCATAAATAATGGACAGTCTGAATAGATATCCAACTCTTTCACCAAGACATCTAGAACAGCTTTGACAACTTTACTAGACCCCAGATAATTGGCATGGTAGTAAGGTTCCCTAATGCTTTTGGGAATTAAATGGTCAATGACAAAATTCTCACATTGTTCGATGAGGAACTGAATTTGAAGCAGATTTGCTGCATACCACATCTGAATAATGTTCCTGTAGGTTAGAACATTCTCACCTTTATACAAACAGTGTAGGATATTGGAAAATACTTCCTTACAGATCCCATGGATGGTCACTTTATTTTCTAACGATTCCTTCATGCCCGACTGCATAAGAGCATGAAAAAACCTAGATGTCGCATTGAGAATAAAGCGATGGCACTTGAACTCTTGCTCCTCAACAATGACAGTGAAGTCAGGGAAATTGTCCCAGGGCTCAAACTTTCCTAATTCTAACATTATACTGCAAGCTACAGCAGAATCCACAGCCATGCTGAAATTCTCTAATTATTTTCCAAAACTTGGTCAGTTTGAGTGAGGTAAGGAATTTTCATACAGTTCTAAAAGAAAGTGCAAAAAAAAAAAAAAAAGGTTTATTTCAAAGAATTTGTCAAGTCATCACAAGTTTATAAAACTCCAGTGAGTAAAACAAGTTTGCTCCTCATGACACTTAGCGGAGATAAGAATAATGACTTAAAGAGGGGAAAGAATTAATTTCTGCTAATGGATGTTGCAGTCAAGGCAATAAATTTTCATGTCCAGGTTGAAAAATACACTAATTCAGTGGTTGAATAATATATAGGCTACACCCACTTGACAAGTGCTTCAGTGTTATAAAGAAAATTTAATAATCAAATATTAACTAGTCAGGTCACTAAACTAAGAGAAAGGAGAGAGAGAGAGGAGAATAGAGAGAAGAGAGAGAGATAGAAGAGAGTGAGAAGACTAAGAGAGTGGGAGAAAATAGCTAAGAACAAATTAATTATAAATGAAAAGAAATTAAGAATTTCTAATTCACAATTGCCAATGCACAACTATCTACTAACTAGGCATAGGGACTAAAATAATAGGGGCTAATACTAATTATAGTAGTAGTGGTACTAATAGGGCAGGGACCATAATATAATTTTTGAAAATCCTTTTTTTTTTAGCCTTGGGCGCCTTGGCCTTAGCTTAACTGTAATTTTTTTTAAGCTTATGGTAGTGCTATAGTCTTAGGCTTAAAGACTTAGTTAATATTAATATAGCGAAAGGATGGAGGTAAACAAGTCTGCGGCAATGTATGATGTTTTTGAGGCAGCACTGTAGTCAGATTAAAGGTTACAAATAATAAAGTAATAAATACAGCTAAAACTCAAATTTTGAACTAAAAGTCTAAAAATAATAAAATAAAGTATAAAAAATAAAGTCGAAGTCTTGTTATTGTGATTCGTGATTGTGAGAAGAACGATGGGCCTAGAATAAAAATAGCTGGTGTTTTCTATTTGTTCTTAACATTTAATCAAATTCAATATATTGTTACAGGGTATACAGATTATGAGATACCAATTGATTTTATTATATTATTTAAATCAGTAATTATTAGTGAAATCAATCACTTAAGTTAGAAGTCTGTAAAAGACACATATCGATCATATTGCAGTCATGTGACTTTTTATTAAAAGGAAAAAGATATTTAAAAAACACTTCAACTTCTTGAGCCTCATTCGGTTAATTATTTGTTAATGATAAAGTCCCGAAATGTGAAAACTTATAGACTTCAGAGGGGGCAGGGGGTGGGGTAGGGGTGGAAGCAATTATTCTAGAGTTTCATTTTCAAGGAAACCATTGTAGGCCTATTTGTGTAATAAAAATAGTAGTATTCGTTTACCCGATTTAACTCAAAGTATAAGCTAAAGGCTTCAATTTCACTTTTTGTTCACCTTTTATTTTTATTATGAAAAACTCGTTAAAAATTATTTTACATTGTTACAAGGCCAGGGGCGGCGCTGGGTGGGGGGCGGGGCCTTGGATAAATTAAATTTTTCGCAACTCTTAACATAATTATTGAGCCGATATGTAAGTATGGCACGTCATAGTCATACTGGACTGGGTCTCATTGGTCACAATAATGGGACACATATTTTGTTCACTCGTTTAGGCTCCGAAATTGTTATTTAAAAAAAAAAAATTATAAACAAACTGTAACAGTTTAATTGTCCGGAACCGAATTACTCTCACCGCACGGCTGCTTCTAATCTAATGGTTGTCAGAAATAAATCTCTCTAAAAAAAATGTGTTTTTTTCTGCCTACCAACTGAACATTTCCCACTGGAAAAGAGGTCACCGAAAATTAGTCGAAGTCTTGGAAGTCTGCTTTCTGGCTCTGGCATTCTTGAAACATACCCTGCCAATCTGGCTAGTTTATTTTTGTAGGAGCTCGTGGATGCTGGTACAATCGGCCCGTTGTAGGTCCTCTGTATCAGGGTCTCCGTCCCACCATCTGTTGTCAAGAGGTCTACGTAGACAACATATGTTTATATTGTTTAGCAGCCTAGCGTGTCTGCTGTAGGCCTACACGTCTCGCTAGCATATAGGAGTGTTGATAAGATGACTATCCTATATACCTTCAACTTAGGGACAAAACTGAGCCCCCTTCACACCCAAGCATTATTGCAGAGCCCTCCAAATGCAACTCTTGCTTTGGAAATTTGTTTATTGATCACACCATCCATGGTTATTAACCCGGAGAGAGTGCTGCCCAAAATATGCTTTTTTTCTACTGCTTAGAGATTCTGTCCCTTCACTGAAGTGTTGGGTTCTTTGAAAGCTTTCCGTGGAGCTGGCTGGTGCAAGATCTGGTGTTTTCCCTTCATATTGATGGCGCTGTCGTAGATGTCACAAGCCGTACAAAGCGATCACGCAATTGCTGTATTTTCAGTTCTGAACTTGCACAGACAAATCAAACAAGAGGCCTCGAATAACCGTCTCTTTTACTTTTGTAATGGCTTGCTGTCTAACAAGATTGAATATCCCTCCGCCTGTCCCGTATCTCAAAGGACCGCAGTCGTTATTGTCAAGAAGAGCACCAGTGAGCATTGCTGAGAATAATATGCTAAAAACTGTTGGGTCTAGAACAAAGCCTTGTTTAACGGCATTAGTTACAGGAAAGCCACATACTCATCTCAAGAATTCATCACGTCGTGGAGTTGACGTACTGTTGTAATAAATCTAATGGAACAGGTAAACTTCAGTATCGTCCACTGGCAATCTACCGACTGAATCAAATGCCTTGGTCAGATCAACGAATATGGTGATCAGGTGGCTACATCATGCTGTAGAGCAGAGCCTTGCACGATTTTGCCAACGGTCACACATGATATGCCTTATTACCATGGCAAGAAGAAATTTAAAAAAATCTACAACTCCTCGCTTGTAAAACTAGCAGCTTCACGCGACTGTACTTGTTGTTGTTCTTTATTTTTATTTTAAGGGCCCACGATCAATGAATTGATCATTCTGGCTCCTATGTTGGGGGTGGTATTGGGAAAAAAAATACAATAACAGAATGACACTTTGATAATCTTTTACCTCAGAACATTGTGTTGACTGGCAATTACGAACTATGAATAGACACGGGATGGCTCCATACGAAGGGCTACCCTCGGAGCGCCAATAAACGCGGGGGCCTTGTGCCCTAGCGCCGTTCGCCACCCACCAACCCCCCCCCCCCCCCAGCGCCAACCCTGATAAAGTACCCTTGTAGTATTGCATTAAATAATTCAAGAATTTAATGAAGTGGACTTTAAATGCAGATCTACACGCTTTGATCAAGTAATATCTTCACATTTATTCTAGTTGTTTTATAGCCTAAGCGTAAATTCATTACCTGTATCAAATTAAGGGTTCGTCCATTAACTTTAATATTGGCGCTGCTTAAAAAAAAAAACAATCCACCAAAATGAATATTGTACGTCAACGTTTAATTCTTGGACTTGCACGTCTTTATTCTTAACTACACACGAACTCGTGTCAAAACACAACACTTACGCTGTCAAGTTGGTGAGTGAATGCCCCGGGTTAGGCTTGTCTTAGCCCCCAAGTGACACACTGGTCATGTGGTGTGAACTGCTCTCAACCTCACTTGCCAGTCTTTTTTTTAACCTGAGCTAGAACTAAATGCCCCAGAGAATATTTCTCCAGCATTGAGTCTAGTGTGCATTGTACCGTAACGCAACATTACGACACTCTTTTTATATGTATACATATTTATTAATAGACTAACTTAGAATGTTGCCACTGAGCCACTGTACTTATGGACCATCCATCTTGTACGTACGCAAAACTCAAATTTTCGCCCCCCCCCCAATGAGCTCTCGACCCCCCCCCCCACTAACCACCCGGAACCCCCACCCGCCAACAAAATTCAATAATCGTTATAAAAAATTATGACGTAACAGTAAACAAAATGTGTCACGTGTTGTCAGTGCTGGCTGTTTAGTGAGCCCAGTGGTTCCCAGAATATACACCGCATCGCCCTGGGTGTCGCGTTGTCCCCGAACAGGGTCACGAGGAATGGGGCGAAGAGCAACAGGCGCCTAAGTCATGGGGCGTGAAAATGGTCTTTAGATAAGACCTCAAAAGTGAATTAAACTATAAAATTCCATATACTTCACAATAACAAGGGGCGCTGAAAACCGTCTTTTTACTGGTCCGCCTGGTTTAAAAAGGGGGGGGGGCATTGTTCTAAATGGGTTGCTGCGTCTTCCTCACAGGGGCATTGCGAAATATTACACAATTTTCATAATTTTAATCCGATGTGACATCTAGCGGTGGTGGCGCAAACAGTTACCGCCTTGAGAAATTACTGTTTACAGTTACTGGATCACTTGATGACGCTTAGTGACCTACATACGAGTTGCATTTATTTTTACCCAACACTTTCTTTCATTTTGTTTTATTTATTCGTTGTTTGGAAGTGGACTTGTTAGAATTGAACAGGTGGGGTGGGAAATGGCACGGGCGCCGGGAATTGAACAATTCTAGGAACCTTCCTCCAAGACAAACGAGAAAAGGTCCGCCTAATATTCTTATATAAAAGTGGTCATGGGGCTAGTGCCGGCCATCCCAGCAAGCACATTTCTCACCCCCCCCCCCCACATAAACCAGGTCGGTTAATCAGAGCCAAACGCTCACTAAACACCAATTTCCCCTCAAACAACCCCATAGACCAGACCTGCTCAACTCAACATGTAAGGCGGGCCGAAATCCATTATGAAAAACTTGTGTGGGCCAAAAGAAAATAGGACCCTGGGGGGTGGGGGGAGCTATTAATAAAATAATAAGAATAAAGAATATTTCTTAACTTCGCGGGCCGCAAACAGGGTGTTGGCGGGCCGTATGTTGTGCGGGCCTGCCATAGACAATTACACCCGGAACAATCGCAAATGCTTCACTGTGCCTCGGTGTAACACAATGCAATATAAACAATCATTTTAAAACCACCTGGACAAATGCAGCCATGGACTCAACATCAGTCGAAAGCTTCAAGGCTACCCTGGCATCTGCTAGGAGCTATTAGGATAGAAACATCGCTTCCCCAACCGTTGCACATATGCCAGTATATGGATGCAGCAACGAACACTACCAAAACCAGAACTACTGGCTAGCCCCAACAAAATATACGTCAGTTGGACGTTGGACTTACGGTGGACTAAATATTACTGTAATGCCTCTACTAAGGAGTACTATCTGAGCGATATTTAGCGATGCATTTGCGAATATTAATGGCAAAATTATGACGATAATTGCGTGAAAAAAAACATTGCGTGATATATTTTACAGCATTCAAGATAGAAATGTACTATTTTTAGATGGTCAGAATTTCAGGATGTTTATTATAGAATGTTTTTAATAAATGTACGTACTTTCTGCCAAGACAGCCCCCCCCCCCGCCATACGCATGCGTGAACACAATCCGCAAAATCNGAGGGCTGACCTCAAGTAGCAATCTGGGGGGAGGCGACCGCCCCGGTGGCAAGGGGGGAGGGCGGCAATTTTTTTTGAGCACCCCCTCCCATACGAAGACCCCAAAACATTATACATAAGCCATCTTTAGTATATGCAGGGGACCACTACTCCCCCCCCCCCACCGGAAAAAAGTGCCAACCAGGGCGGACCCTTCCCTACGCTCCCCCACCCCCGTCTTCCTATGCCCGTGTCTCCATGGCAACCTTCAGACCCTGGTTGATTCGAAGTACATTTGGAGATACGATCCACTTGTCATAGTGGTGATCAAAGGCTTAAATTCCCGGATAAGGCGCAAGGCTCAAATCTTTTGGCGACAGAGTAGGTTTGACAGAGTAGCTTTGACAGAGTAGCCTTGACAGAGTAGCCTTGACAGAGTAGCTTTGACAGAGTAGCTTTGACAGAGTAGCTTTGACTGAGTTGCTTTGACAGAGTAGGTTTGACAGAGTAGCTTTGACAGAGTAGCTTTGACAGAGTAGCTTCCGAATCTATTTCTTGACCAGCTGTTTATCGTAATGCTTTTTTTTTTTAAATACCATTATCCCCGTAACATAAATTATAGCTCTCTAATAATGAAAGTGGTCAATTATGATACTAATATAGTGATAAATAAAATAATTGTGAAAAAGTATATGTTTTTTAAACCTAAACACATCATTACAATATAATAATTAGCCTCATCGGCACCGATTAATAGGTATCGGTTATTAAGGCAGGCCAATTAATCAGTAGTTGGCCGATTTTCTAATCGGTGCAGCCATGGCGATAAAATGTTTTTGGTGGCGCTTTGTTTAAAATTTTTCCCTAGCTTCTGCTGCAAAGATTAATAATTTTGGCGGGTCGGATCTGGTCCACAGGCCGGGGTTTGCACTCTACATCTGTATCTGGAGTAATGTGTCAGAAGCATGCAATTTAAATTTAAAAAAAAAAACGAGGCAGTCGACGTCACGTGTTGCGGGTGATTACCATTCGCATTATATTTATTAATTAATTTGGTAAAATTACTTACATTTAAAAAAAAAATTGAATGAAAAGCCTCAAACAAATAGATTATTTAAAATTCTATAATTACTTTTTTCCCGTTTGAAATAAACTCAGCTGGGGTTATATTAATCATGATTGGAGCTTCAGAGGGTAATTCTGAAGTCAAGGGAAGTAACAACATGGACGTTTAGGTTTAGTTAACCTACCCTTGTGGATCCCGTTATTATTGGTCTTGGTATCGTTACTGTATATGTGAGTATAGATCTTATTTATGTAAGTATATATCTTGTATATGTATGTATATATCTTGTATATATAAGTAGGGCTATATATTATTATTATTATAAGTGATTTATATAGTGGCTGGTAAAAAGGTAAAAGGTAATTTATTTTTAAAATGGTAAGAGAACATCTATAAACGAGGTCACGCGTCTGGGGGAAAAATGAAAAAAAGGGGTTGGGGGAGGGGAGGGGGGGGTAACAAGAGGAAAAAAAGAAAAAAAAGAAGAAGAAAGCCTCCACAAATAACGTGGCGTCATTAAAGGGTTACCACCCCTTGAGATCGAGATGAAAATCGCTAATAAGTGAACATTGAAAAGTTGTAATGCTGTCCGATGTATTTTATTCCATGATGTAACTCTAAAGGATATTTATGATGTAGATATTGACGCCTGTTAGTTTTGTGATGACAATGTTCCTTTATTTCAATGTTTCTTTATTGCAGACCTAATTATAGATAGATTGCAGTACAATTAGACACACCACGATAGATTTTTTTTCATTCAAGTGTAGATTATAAATATATTATAATGGATGTGGTCATTAACTGCAGGATCTGATAGATTTAGTCATTCAGTTGTTGTAAATGATGATCTTCTTTGGTGTTTAAATCTCCAGGTTATGAGAGATTTAGACATACGTATTTCAATCCCATAAATTTGCAGTTAAAACAAATAAAATTAGACCCATGGCGTTCAGCCTTTTTTTTTATGCCAGAGATACATTATATCGAACGGCAGTTTTAGGACACATAAACATGTAGCTCTTTATAGTTTTTAGGACAAATGAACATTATATAGAACTACAGTTTTAGGACACAAACATTATAATATAGAACTACAATTTTATAATAGGACACAAAAGCTTACATAGAACTGCAGTTTTAGGACACACCATACAGGGATTTTTCCCCCTTTAAATTGACGTTTCGTTGAAAAGATGTGTCCCATAAAATACTATTTCAGATTTGATACATTCAATTTTGTTCCATGCAATTTTATTTCGAGAACATGCCCCTCCCCTGCCCCATCCCCCCCCCCCCCAAAAAAAAAAAAAAACAACCACCAAAAAAAAAAACCCCAAAACATTGGTCACTTAGTTTTCTTTTATTCATTAACTTAAAAAATAATGCGACACTCCTGTGAACCTTGGTCACGTGGTAGTGTGTCCCGACATAACGACTGGACACACCTGGTCTGACGATACTGGCTTTTAAACTTTGCTACCAATTCAAGTGATGAGTGACCTATAAGATGAAACTTTCTACTCCACAATCCCATCAGATGGCGAATGGCCTGTTATAAGATTCAACATTGTATCCCACAATCCCATCAGATATTAAGTGGCCCATAGGATAAAAATTTCTACTACACAATCCCATCAGATGTTGAGTGGCCTAAAAGATGAAACGCTCTACTAAACAATCAGACGATTGGAAAAGACAAACGTTGAGTAACATCGCCTGGGGGTGGGGGGGGACATCCCTTGTGGACACAATGATACCACGATGATCGCAGAGTGTCCTTTAAAAGAAGACGCACTTCCTCTCGGGGTTCATCGGTGAATTCCGTGGGCAGCCGAAGGCCTCGGCGAACGCTTCGCTGTTTGAAAGAGTCCCCCTGACTCTGGCCAAGATGGAATCAACAATACAAGCGATTAATGAAATTAGTTGTCCTGGCCATCCGTCTGTCTGTCCGTCCATCTGCCTCTCCGTCCGTGCGTCTATCCGTCTCTCTGTCCGTCCATCAGTCT